TTGAAAAGAAACATATGGCTTTCACTTAAAAATATAATGACAATAATCAATGGATTTTGTCAAAACGATATTGTATTGTCTTGATGGTGGTAATGGATGAGAGCGGGGGGGGGGGGGGGTATAGACCACATAAAAAGATGTAAGTGATTTTTGTTTTCCCGAAGGAGGTCATGGGATCTTTCTTTCCCTTGTTATTGCAATAATTGGAATGAACTTTGATACGCCGTCTCCCGCCACTACACCCTCGGCATCCTCTTCGGGCAGATCACTCGCATCCACTCCTTGATCTCGTCCTTCTGAAGAGGTTTATGGTCTGTCTGAAGGCTTCCTTGGGGCTTCCCTCCCCCCTCCCCCTTCCTCCCTCGTCTTTTTCTAAGTACGCTTTGTGCTCCAGTTTTATTAATTTTTTATCTTATCGTGCAACTTGAGTACGGCGTACTTGCTTTCTTATCTAATCTTCATTTTTCTCCCAGAAAATATTGCATCTGTATAATCTGCAGTATTTCCAGTATTTCTTCTCTTCCTGGTCTTGTATTGCGCTTCTTTCCCCGTTCTCTTGTGCTCTTTCCTGCATTTTTTCCTCGGCATTTGCAGTTACAACCTTGTTTATCAGCATATTCCCTTCCCTGTTCTTTTGTACTCTTTCCTTCATTTTTTCCTCCGCATTTGCAGTTACAACCTTGTTTATCAACATTTTCCCTTTCCCCTTTCTTCCTGCGAAGGTCTCAGCCCCCGCGCAAACAGAAAAGGATTGGCCGGTGATCGCTTTAGCTGTATTTCCAGTTTCTTTGTGTTTTGCGTCTTCGCTCGTAAGAGACTTTGTGCAGATTTCCCCCACGTCGGCAAGGGCTATTTTCCGGCTGTTTTGAAATGGATCTGAAGGTGGAGATGTCTGTCTGTGTTCCTCTCGCCCCGTGTCGTGTGATGTGTCTGCAGTGGGGTTAATCGCCGTGTCATGTGATGTTGTATTTGCAGTGGGGTTAATCGCCCGTGTCATGTGATGTTGTATTTGCAGTGGGGTTAATCGCCCGTGTCATGTGATGTTGTATTTGCAGTGGGTTAATCGCCCGTGTCATGTGATTTGCAGTGGGGTTAATCGCCGTGTCATGTGATGTTGTATTTGCAGTGGGTTAATCGCCCCGTCATGTGATGTTGTATTTGCAGTGGGTTAATCGCCCCGTGTCATGTGATGTATTTGCATGTGTCTTTGCAGTGGGGTTAATCGCCCGTGTCATGTGATGTTGTATTTGCAGTGGGGTTTAATCGCGTGTCATGTGATGTATTTGCAGTGGGGTTAATCGCCCCGTGTCATGTGATGTTGTATTTGCAGTGGGGTTAATCGCCCCGTGTCATGTGATGTTGTATTTGCAGTGGGGTTAATGTCATGTGATGTTGTATTTGCAGTGGGGTTAATCGCCCCGTGTCATGTGATGTGTATTTGCAGTGGGGTTAATCGCCCCGTGTCATGTGATGTTGTATTTGCAGTGGGGTTAATCGCCCGTGTCATGTGATGTTGTATTTGCAGTGGGGTTAATCGCCCTGTGTCATGTGATGTATTTGCAGTGGGGTTAATCGCCCCGTGTCATGTGATGTTGTATTTGCAGTGGGGTTAATCGCCCCGTGTCATGTGATGCAGTGGGGTTAATCGCCCCGTGTCATGTGATGTTGTATTTGCAGTGGGGTTAATCGCCCGTGTCGTATTTGCAGTGGGGTTAATCGCCCGTGTCATGTGATGTTGTATTTGCAGTGGGGTTAATCGCCCCGTGTCGTTGTATTTGCAGTGGGGTTAATCGCCCGTGTCATGTGATGTTGTATTTGCAGTGGGGTTAATCGCCCCGTGTCATGTGATGTTGTATTTGCAGTGGGTTAATCGCCCGTGTCATGTGATGTTGTATTTGCAGTGGGGTTAATCGCCCGTGTCATGTGATGTTGTAT